TCAAACAACGCTCTGCTATTTCACACTGAAGTGAGATGGTTGTCGTAAGGAAACGTTTTAAAATGTGCTTTTGAGCTTCATGATGAACAATTTTTCAATCAGAAAGCAAGACCGCAGTTAGAAGCACTTTTTAGTGATAAAATTGAACTGCAGAAAAAAAGGTTACTTGATTGACATCTTTGCCATCTTGAATGAGTTAAATTATCATTGCAAGGACCGAAAGCAACATGCCTGGATTTTTCTGAAAAGATGCGATAATTCCAAATGAAATTTCAGCTTTTAAAAAAAAAATTGGATGAAAATACAATTCACATGTTGCCTATCGTATTTTTTTTTTTTGAAGAACATGACATTGGAATACGATGATAAATTATGTGAAGGAACACTTGCACATGCTTGCAGATGAAATTTCATAGTATTTTCCAAATCTACCTGACACCCCATTTGCACTTGCCAAAAGTCCATTCACAGTCAAAGTTGAAGATCTCTTGAGTCAACACAAGAGCAGTTCATTCAACTTATTAGCAGCGATGAAGAGAGAACTGATTTCTCTACAATGCCAGTTACAAAATTCTGGATCAAGTGTTTGCAGTCATTTCCTGTTCTGTCTGAGACAGGGTTGCGCCCTCTTCATCCATTTCCAACAAAACATCTGTGTGAAACAGGGTTTTCCAGCTTATTGGTAAACAAGTCTAAATGTAGACTTGTTGTGGAAGATCATCTTCGTTGTGCTCTTGCAAAGACTGCCCCGAGCATTTCTGATCTGGTAAGAAAGAAGCAATCTCAATCTTCGCACTGACATTGACTTTTTACGCATACTGTCGCAAAATGTATCAATATAGTTTACTATTGTTATTTTAAGACTGTTACTCATGCTACACTATGCTTCAAGACAAAATCTCATTTATTTGTAATTAGAAATAATATTTCACAATATATAATTACCTATTTTTTTTTGATTAATCACAATGCTTTAGTTATATTCAATTTGTAACAATGAACATACATCCTGCATAACATATATTTACATTACGATTCATAACAGAAGCAAAATTACAGCCATGAAGTAGCAACGAAAATAATTTTAAGGTTGGGGGTCGCCACAACATGATGAAATGTAAAAAGGGGTCGCGGCATTAGAAAGGTTGAGAACCACTGACTTAGATCATTATCAAAACTAAAAAAGAAAATGAAGGTAATATTTTTCATATTATTCATCATAGGTATTATTTACATAATTTCTCAGTTGTTCACGCTATAACCTACCACTACTTTTGCCCACTTTCTGACTTGATAAAATAAAATTGAACTACCGGTATTTAAAAAGTATTATTAAAAAGTATCATGATAAGAACAAATAAGAATTGTATCTAATTCATTTATTAACCAGAATTGTTGTTTAATATCTTTTTGAATGCAGCATGTTGCTAAGAAACACATCTAAACAAAGATTGATGAGTAACAAAAGCTTGTACAAAGTGGATATATAAAAAAACATTTTTGGATTCAGGATTCCAAGAAACATTGGAAATTTAAAAAAAAAAAAAAAAGACCACCCCACTCAAAAAGACTACACACAAAATTATACATACAGGTACAGTTGTCAAAATGCAGCATGTTGCTAAGAAACACATCTAAACAAAAATTGATGAGTAACAAAAGCTTGTACAAAGTGGATAAATAAAAAAACATTTTTGGATTCAGGATTCCAAGAAACATTGGAAATTTAAAAAAAAAAAAAAAAAGACCACCCCACTCAAAAAGACTACACACAAAATTATACATACAGGTACAGTTGTCATTGCAAATAGAATGGAAAAGAAGTTAATAATACTTACTTATTGTAACTCAAGTATAAATTGGGGTACATGCCCAAATTTTTTTCCTGTATTTCATCCATGACAAATTTAAGCATTCATTTCAAACTTTGGGAATTTTTTTTTTTACATATAAATCTATAAAATACATTAATCTGTAATTAATGTATTGGTAGTACGGTATATGACAATACCTCTTGCTCATTTTGTATTGTACTGAAACTTAATGCGAAATTTAGATACGTGCATCAAATTGTATTTTAATTTTAATGGAAATAAAAAGTTCACTTGTTTGAGTGAGTATTGTGTTCTTGATAAGAGAATGACCGCTCATTTTTTTTGTTTGGTTTGAAACATACCAACATGAATAGTTTTTAGACTGAACAATTTACTGGCTGATGCAATGTTGATTTTATTATTTAAAAACTGAACAATACACCAGCTGATGCAATAGTTTTAATACTGAACAATACACTGGTTGATGCTCAGTAAATTTTAAAATTGTCATTTAACAACATAATTTTAAACTTAACTGATTTCTATCAAATCAACTAACAAGGAAATTTGTGTAAAAAAATGCATTGATGGATAAGAAACATGTTAGAGAATTAGTAAAGCCAGTGGAAAGATCTGTGCACGAGGATTGGTGCATGTAAATTTAAATGTGTGTGTGTGTTTAGGCACATATGTATATAATATACACAAACAAACAAGCAGAGGGAGGGCAAGATATACTTTTTTTAAATTTTACTTTAGGTCATAAGTTCTCAAACTTTTTAAGCAGGAGGTGAATTCACTAACCCTGTTATGTTAACGCTGTTGTGGGGCCGACCAATAGTTTGAAAAAAAAAAAATAATTTGTAGAGTAGTGAAAAAATAAATATATGCAGTTCCGGTATGTAAAATGATGAACGATTTAATTACGGTAACATAAACAAATGTGGGAAATATGGGCTTGATATTGGCTAATGAGATGGTAATTATCCAGTTCCTTATTTATAACTGCTAGTTGTAACAAGTTTGCAGCAGTGAGTCTTGATCTGATTGAAGATTTCAGATGTTTCATTCAGGAAAAAACTTGTTTACAGACATAGATTCTGCACAGGCATAGGTGCTGCCAAAGATTGTATTGCTGACTGCGGTACCGTTATAGGCATTTTCACATTGGTGTAGGAAGGAGTGGGAGTCTGCCCTGGGCGTGACTTTGTTCTATTCTTCTGAGAGAGTTGCACTGGCTGCCGGTCCGTGCTCGCATTGAGTACAAAATCGCAACTTTGTGCTACCGCTGTTTAAAACATGGCCTGGCGCCGTCCTATCTGAAAGAGCTGCTGACGCCTTATGTACCCACTAGACAACTCCGCTCATCTGACAGTGGCAAACTCTTGACACCACGTGTTCGCCTTGAGACTTGCAGAAAGCGCACTTTCGCATTTGCTGGTCCAACAATTTGGAACGCCCTTCCAGTCGATCTCAGAAACAATCAGACACTGGAGTCCTTTAAAACCGATTTAAAGACACATTTATTTCGCAAACACCTTCTGGGATGATTGTCTACCATATTTTCCATTTAATGCATATTAGCTGTGTTGCTCACGGTTGAAATGGGTTGACAGACTTTGACATTGTATGCTTGTAATTAGTTTTTGTCGTGTTGCGTTTGTTTTAAATGTGGTAATTTATAGATTTTTTACTCTTGTACCGCGCTTCGAGCCTTTGGGGATAAAGCGTGTTTTTGAAATACACTTTATTATTTTATTATTATTCTCAAATTTAAAGGGTATCATTTTTTGGCCAACACCTAAAAATCTCTGCCCGCCCCTGGCGAATCTTACTCTTGCTACGCCAATGCCCATCCACAACTTAATTTCCAGGTTACCCGTATTTGTCCCAGATTAAGGACCCCTCGCGGCTGGATTTGACCCACAGTCCATAGTTTTAAGACCCCTGCTTTATGTCATCTCTGCCTCATTGCCATGACCTTTTTTTGTATGCATGGTGAAATCACTGACAGTACCTGATATTATATTAGAATTAGATAGATTCTTTATTGATCCAAATAAATAGAAAGTTTTTTTTTTTAAATTTCATTGTAGTAGTAGTACATTTTCATTTTCAGCACATAAATATATACCCCAAAACAACATTTTAAAAATTATAGTAATTTAAATACAAGACATCTAGCGTAGAAATCAGCCATCAATGTACTCCTTTAGTGGCAATAACTTATTGAATAAGGACTTTATTAGTGATCATTTTATATCTTTTGGTCCTATCTTTAAGTTAAGAGAAAGAATTCGCTCTCATCGAGCTGATCTTAGTATCTGTGATGAAGAGTGTGGAATGTATCATTATCATCCAAAAACGTTTAGTTTTACAACAGCACTTTTCTTCAAATGGTTCTTCAAGTGAAGATATTTAGTATTTAGTTTTTGTGATATTACTAGTACTACTAACTCTGCTTAATCAGTGTTTGTTATCAGTATCAGAGGATGAATTCCCACACCAGCGGGCGGTACAGTAATACTGAAGTTTAGTTGTAGGCTCCTTATGTGTTTGCACCAAAATTGTACAACTTTATTAAGAAATAAAAGTCTTTAGTTGATCTAACGTGAACTTAAGTAAATGCTGATTGTGTAGTGCAGGTAAGTTAAGTGTACTTGTTTTTGTTTTTTTATCTGTAGCTTCGCAATTGCATATTCGGATACAAAATACTTGGGGCGCTGGTAACTAAACAACAACATATAATCTTTACATTATTCAGATTTATATTTTCTTCCTTTAGCTATATTTTACTATCACTCGACTCTGATTTAAGAAAAGATCTTGGAAAATAGAATGGGTTTTCAAACTTAATTAAGCTCCAATACTTGTACTATTCTCTTTGTGAGTAAATGTTACCGATATTTTGGTACCTGGGTATCGAACACAAACCTATAAATAGTTTAATGCGGCAACAGTATTTATTGTATTTTTTGTGTTGCTTTATTTTAAAATTCGTTTTACAAAAATAAAAAAAATTAAAACTATTAATTATAAAATTTAAAAAAAATATTATTCCTACTTTTATTTACTAACTTAAACTAAAAATAAATATAAAAAATGAATACAAATTATTTGGCCTATTTTTTCATTCTTTATTGACTTGAAAATTGGAACGGAAGTAAACCGAGTTCTCGAATGTTCGGGGGACATCGCCAATGTTCGTTTATCTTCGTGCTGTTTCATGGTCAAGTTCACTAAGTCTATATAACAAGCATAGAGTAGGAGCTGTTGTTAGTTGAAACAGAAACCACAAGATTGTAGCTTTCTCAACATTTACCGAAAGGAGCAAGTGACTGTTATTCATATTCATAATCTGACAAGTGTCGATTCTTTATACCGTTCGATAGTGACAATTTTCTTATTCAGTGACAATGGGTAAGGATTACTACAAAATTCTTGGCATTGCTAAGGGTGCATCCGAGGATGAAATCAAGAAAGCATACAGAAAAATGGCATTGAAATACCACCCAGACAAAAACAAGTCTCCGGGAGCAGAAGATAAATTCAAAGAAATAGCCGAAGCTTATGACGTTCTCAGTGATCCTCAGAAAAAGGAGGTATTCGACAAATATGGTGAGGATGGTCTGAAAGGAGGAATGGGCATGGGAGGTGGTAACACAGGCGGTGGTGGTGGTAGAAGTGGAAACTACTCCTACACCTTCCATGGTGATCCTCATGAAACATTCAGAATGTTTTTCGGCAATGAAAACCCGTTTGAAAATTTCTTCGGCCAAGGTGGCCCTGGAGGAATGGGTGGTGGTAGATCACCCTTCTTTTCATTTCATAGTGGCGGTGGTGGTCGTGGAATGGAAGATGAAATGGATGTTGATGATCCATTTTCACAATTTGGTGGACAGAGGCGAAGAAAACATCAAGATCCAGCAGTAGTAAGAGAGCTGCAAGTATCACTTGAAGAAGTTCTTACTGGTACCACCAAAAAACTGAAAATAACCCGAAAGGTCTTGAATCCTGATGGACAGTCATCAAGAAGTGAGGACAAAATTTTGACAATAGATGTTAAACCTGGATGGAAGGCAGGTACCAAAATAACCTTCCCCAAAGAAGGTGACCAAACACCGCAAAACGTGCCTGCAGACATAGTGTTTGTAATCAAGGACAAACCACACACATTATTTACTAGAGAGGGCAGTGACATTCGCTATAAGGCTCGCATTTCTCTCAGAGATGCTTTATGTGGAACCACCATACAAGTGCCAACGCTTGGTAACCGTAAAATTCCTCTTCCATTGACTGAGGTTATCAAACCAAACTCTGTAAAGAGAATTCAGGGTGAAGGACTTCCAATACCGAAGACCCCATCCCAGCGAGGTGACCTTATAGTGGAATTCAATGTTGTGTTTCCTAACAGTATACCACCAGCAACAAAGGAAATTCTCAAGGACTGTATTCCTCAATCGTAGTGTTCACAATTTGTAGGTCAGTTTGTGTAAATATTTGTAAATACTGTCCCGATGTATTGTTTTTGTTTACACATCACATTCACATTGTTAATAATAATTAGTTCATTATCATAGGGATGTGAGGTAGACAAAAAGCCTAAGTTTTTTAAGCTAATGAAGTTTTTGCCTCTCAAAACATTTCAGAAATAGTTTTGAAATTAAGCTTATTTGAAATCGATAATGACTACTGCAAAATATTTTAAAAATAAAATCATAAAAATTCAAATAAGCTGTATCACTGCAAGACCAAATTATCTATTGCATTTTTAACTCATTGATCTATGATATGATTATGATATATTATATTCATCCTTTAATACGGTAGATTACTATATCATAAATGGGATACAAAGTAGGCCTATATTAAGTAGGCTGTCAGTACATACCTACTAAATTTGTTCGGTATGGTATTTTGTTGACAAGTTAGTTAACATTTAGGCTTTATTAGAATTGAATTAAACTGCAGCTTGTTGGGAGTGCCATTATCTGGTTGTATGAAAATAGTGTTTTTGCTTGGATTTTTTCTGTCTTAGATCTAAAAATACGATTTCAGGTTATTCAATTTTTTTTTCAGTTTTTTAAAATCTAATTTATGAATAATAATTTTTTAAAATGAAAATTTGTCTTTAGGCAGTTATAAAAGTTTCATTTAGGCTACATATATATATAATATAGTTGAAACCAAAACAATTAGTGACTGGAACTATTCAAGGAAAATAAGTCAACCTGTTAGTAAGTGTTAGACACTTCAGAACTAAAGATGTATGGTACAACATTGAGCTAGAAAAAGGAATTTAAAAAAATCAAGCAGAAACTTACTGTCCATTGTCTTTCATTTTCTTACCAAAATATATTATTAATGTATATATTTTATGAAATTAAGATATTTTTTTTTAGGTTGGAGGAGGGCCACCTCATTCATCTTCTTGACAACCAGTATTTTTAATGTGTGAAACTAGGATAACTTATGTTTGAAGTGTCTTTTATTTGTTAAATTTATTCTGTGTCAGCTTTACTGACTAGTGGTAGTAAAGGCCTAAATGTTGCTTATCTGTAGTTGGGTCAGATAACTGACTACAGGTAGTTAAGGCCTACCTATGTTGCTGATCTTTAAAACAGGTATTTGGCTTAACCTTCTAAACATTTTGTAATTATTTTTTGTTCATGATGTATTGCATTGATATTGGTAAAGCCTAATTTCTTTGTTTTTAAGAGTAGTACGGTCATGCATATCAACTTCAATTTGCAATTGAATGTATAAGTATAAACAAAAGACAATTGTTTTAAAAAATAACATAAAATTCTTTTTATTGAAATGAAACTTCCATTGTGATGGTCTTTAGTAAATAAAATTTACATGGCATATTAAAAAAAATAATTATTTTTTGCATTTCATGTGTGATGTCTTGTGATTTGTTTCAGTTTATGAATTTAATACGGCAATTCATTTATGAGAAGCTTTGAAGATTTTAAATGCTCATGATAGGATTTCTGGTCATTACACTAAATTATTGGAAGGACTGACAAGTGTCTTATATTATAAGTAATGATTGTTGGCATGCTGAGTGAATGACTGAAAGAAATATACTTTAGCACAATATGACCAAAAGTTTGCTGACCCGGTTCTAGATCAGTGCATTGTCCTAAGTTGTTTTACAGACTGGCGGGCAGTTTGCCATTGCACTATGGTCCTGTATCAGATTTTATTTGACCCTAAACGTCATTGATAAGTTTAAATCCATGATCCAGTTGGAGAGGACATTATTTTAATTTACCTTAAATACATTTTCTCATCTCATGTTACGTGGACCAGCAAGGCTTAAAGGTTAACTTGTAGAACATTCCCAGTCTGTGGACCATCACTTTTGTAAACTCTCTATAGGACAGTGGTGTTACTTATTTTTCCAACACAATAATCTTTATAGAAATATGCTGAGCTGGCTTTTTTGTGTGTGCAGTTTTTCTGATTTACTTGTTATTGTATTATTTATGCATCACCTGGATTCCGAATTCAGTCCACGTCCTGGTAACACTACCAGGACCCAAAGAAGCGTGCTGAACAAGAGACCAAAGGGGGGGGGGGAATCTCTCTCATCATTTTAATATTTCTACTAGTACCAGGGTATTTATGCTGGGGGGGGGGGGGGGAGAGAGAGAAAGGATTCATAAGATAGGATGTTGCATAGTTGTAGGTAGGGTAACATTATTTGGTGAAAGTCTTTCACCAATAACTATTTTGAAGTTAGTGACACATTCTAGTTGTGATACCATCAATAACCTTATTGACACATTCCAGTTCTGATACGGTACCATCAATAATCTTATTGACACATTTCCAGTTCTGATACCATCAGTAACCTTATTGAATTGACACATTCAAATGTCTAAAGTGATACGATCGATTGCTGTAATAAACTTAAAAGAACTTTTGAGTTGAAGTAACTTTTGACTTAAGTTTAAAATCATTGGCACTTCACAATATCGATAATATTCTATAATTATGAGAGGACTACCCAGTACTGTTATTGTACCGTACTTGAATTATGAGGGGTTTGCAGGAGTAACCAGCATTGACTTTTGCTTTCACTTTTAACTTGGTGGAACATATATCTAATGTGCAGGCTGTGTTCTCTGGCAATGGGCCAAGATGTTACATACTTTTAAAATTAGTAACAGTTGGCACCAGCCTGTGAGCCAGGCCAAGGTAAGAAAAGTATGACGTCAGGAGGCTGGTCGGGGTGGGTGGTAACAGTGGTCGACTTAACCTCGTACGCCAGGGGTGCGAGATTTGTAGTCAAACAGTTCACTTAAGTGAGGGGGTGCGAGACCTGGTCAAATAATTCGTAGGTGGTTTGGAATGTAGATAAGGTTAGGAAGACCCAAGTTAAAAGTTGGAGACGTGAAATCAACAGTTAACTGGCTAAGGCCTTAGCCTTACGTCTTACGTGAAATAAAAGACAATAATTTTATTACAGTAAAGGTAGCAGTGTAGGAAAATGTGATATCTGATATGTCAACACATGTGACGGACGTCGTGTAACAAACGCATACAGTTCATACAGCAGTTGAGGCATTAGCCAAATTTGTGTCCCATTATGGCTAAATGCTTTTAAATAGCAGGCGTGCTACACCGGTTTCTAGGAAGTATGGGGAACTTGAGCCAGATGCAGCTCTACACAAAATGTCGACTAGCATAATTTGATACGATGGTCTTGAGCCCTCTTTTTAGATTACAATGTTTTTTTGCGTTTCTAATAATACGGGTACTAATGAGACACAGTCACTAAGACTGAGTAGGCCTATTACTTTAATATAACCTATCTTGGGTACTTAGTTTTAGTACCCACCTCCTCCCCTAAACTTTAAAAAAAAAAAACAACAACAAACGACAACAGACTTTCGGAATTCAATTCAAACATAACATTTAGAATACCCGGTACCTAATCAGTAAGAGACCTTAAAAATTTATAGAAGTCATAAGTATAAGCCTCTACCGGTTTATTGAGCGTATTTTGACATTTGTTGATTTGTGATACTCAATACTGATAACCTTGCCAAACTGTGTGCTGGCTAACTCTGAGTTCTGATCTAGTTACTAACACATCAATAAGTTAACTTTTAAGTAAGCGCGTGAATTCTTTACTGGTAGCCCAAATACTAGTTAATTACTGATGAGTTAATTAATGTTGACCCATATTATAAGAATTAAGTAGGCCTACGTACTACTACTAAGAGTACTAAGACTAATACTAATGAAATACGGTAGGCCAACATATTAGATTTTAAAAGACCCCACTGTTTTTGTGCAATCAGTGGGTGTATCTCAAGTGAATGCAGGTACCGGTAGGTCATAGGTGGATGACAGGTTGTTGATAGATACAATCACCCTTAGTGATGAAAACAAACAACAACTATGATACACACTGGCTCGCCCTTCGCACGCGAATATGGCATAGGCAATTTTCGACTCGAGTAGTAACCCTCGAATCTTGAATTGAGCTGTATTTTGTTAACGTGAGAGAGAATTTCCCATTTGATCCAATCATCCAATGAATGGCAAGACGGCTGGAGGTAGATCAGGATGCACTATACTCTATGACCAGCAGCGTGTGTGTGATGCACTGTGCTCTTAATTAAGGCGATCTACGTCGCAGGAGTTGTCTGAATTTTCATTGCGTCATAACGCATGTGGGACGCCATCTCCCGGTTTGGTTTTCAAAATTTGCTTTCTCTTAGATAAGTTGCCATACCCAGGTTTAAGAGGGCCAACCACCAGATACACACAATGATACACAGAATCCACCACTGATAATGATACCCACAACACACCAACGATGACTAAGTTGGCATATTTTGTTGAGTTAAAAAAAAAGAGAAAAGCTCATTGGTAGGCTATATAAATAATTGATTTTTAAAAAAGTTCAGATTTCAGCAAAAAAGGTCGTTCTTTGTTGGCTTAGCAGTCATACCGAAGACTGCACTTACACCCAAACTCAGCTTGCACTTTCACCCAAACTCAGCTTGCACTTGCACCCAAACTCAGCTTGCACTTGCACCCAAACTCAGCTTGCACTTGCACCCAAACTCAGCTTGCACTTGCACCCAAACTCAGCTTGCACTTGCACCCATATGTCAAACTCAGCTTGCACTTGCACCCAGATGTCAAACTCAGCTTGCACTTGCACCCATATGTCAAACTCAGCTTGCACTTGCACCCATATGTCAAACTCAGCTTGCACTTGCACCCATATGTCAAACTCAGCTTGCACTTGCACCCAAACTCAGCTTGCACTTGCACCCAGATGTCAAACTCAGCTTGCACTTGCACCCATATGTCAAACTCAGCTTGCACTTGCACCCCTATGTCGAACTCAGCTTGTACTTGCACCCATATGTCAAACTCAGCTTGCACTTGCACCCATATGTCAAACTCAGCTTGCACTTGCACCCAGATGTCAAACTAAGCTTGCACTTGCACCCGATATTAAACTCAGCTTGCACTTGCACCCAAACTCAGCTTGCACTTGCACCCAGAAGTCAAACTCAGCTTGCACTTACACACAAACTGCTTGCACTTGCACCCAAACTCAACTTGCACCCAAACTCTGCTTGCACCCAGATGTCAAACTCAGCTTGCTCTTGGACCAAGAAGTCATACATAATATATTATGAGATCTTGCATTTTTTAGAAGCCTATTGTTCACCTGACGTAGGTAGGCCTACTGGGATGGCATTTCATTTACCTTCTATCAACATTGCCACGGTACTCGGTATGTCAAACTGGTTATTTCAACATCACATCCAATACATGATTGTGTTAAGGACATTGTCAATTGAAAAAAAAAAGGGGGGGGGGGGGGGGTTTGAAGTAAGAATCTTGTTTACCAGTGCCTAGTGCCACCTTGTTTACCGGTGCCTAGTGCCACCTTGTTTACCGGTGCCTAGTGCCACCTTGTTTACCGGTGCCTAGTGCCACCTTGTTTACCGGTGCCTAGTGCCACCTTGTTTACCGGTGCCTAGTGCCACCTTGTTTACCGGTGCCTAGCGCCACCTTGTTTACCGGTGCCTAGCCCCACCTTGTTTACCGGTGCCTAGCCCCACCTTGTTTACCGGTGCCTAGCCCCACCTTGTTTACCGGTGCCTAGCGCCACCTTGTTTACCGGTGCCTAGCGCCACCTTGTTTACCGGTGCCTAGCGCCACCTTGTTTACCGGTGCCTAGCGCCACCTTGTTTACCGGTGCCTAGCGCCACCTTGTTTACTGGTGCCTAGACCCACCTTGTTTACCGGTGCCTAGCCCCACCTTGTTTACCGGTGCCTAGCCCCACCTTGTTTACCGGTGCCTAGCCCCACCTTGTTTACCGGTGCCTAGCCCCACCTTGTCATGGTGCCTAGCCCCACCTTGTCATGGTGCCTAGTCCCACCTTATCATTTTCAGATCATGATTTGAATTTTTTGATATCTCCTGAACATATTTTTTTAATGTTAAAATCTAATGCTACTGCTGTATTAATGGTTCAATGAATTGGCCCACCATAAGAACAAGTGTGGCCCTTGCTCCAAATGTCTGCCTCTTCTGTTAAAAAAAAAGTGTTATGATACCTGAGTTGGCCCACCTAAAGAGCAGCTCAAAGTCTGGGCTTTTCTGTTTAAAAGAAAAACTAACTAATGCATATAATAACTAAATAAATATGTTATAATTCGAGGTTTAAAAACCCAGTAGAGTCCATATTATAAATGATAATAATTTGCAGTGTGCAAAATGTTGTCATGGGCAGTCAGCCATTCACGGTTACTTGCATAATGGCTATGCAGTGGTACTGCGTCAGAGTTTCATTCATAAGAGTTTGCCATGTGCAAAGCTATTAAACCATTGGTCAGGGAAAGCTTTAATTAAATATTCATGTGCCAAATTTGAAAGTTAAAAATAGTCCCTAAATAGTATTTTAGTAATAAGGGGATGCGTTGCCTTATGTGAACTAATGCTACTACTGTAGCATGTTGTACAAGATCAAAAATGGTCTGGTCCACTGCTCCAGCATTAACAGAAACTCGTCCATCTCCACCCTAGACAGCGATGAGGCCACGACAGGCAAGTTCGGCCAACAAAAACTCAGTACAGGAGCTCCTCATTCCTGCCTAAGACAATAAGGGACTGGAACAAGCTTCCAAAAGCAACAGTTGAGGCGACTACACGTGACACATTTGCAGCTTTTGCCTCCTGTCTTCCAAACCCAGTTCATAAACCCTTGCTGAGTAGCCCTTGAAACCAATGAAGTATCCCCTTGAAAACCATGCACAGTAATATCGCGAAACCCTCTGAAAAATAGGAGCCAGAATGATCAATCCATCGACCGTGGGCCCTCAAAATATAGAAGAAGAAGAACTATATAGTCGTATAAATACGATCAGCAGAATGAGGTCACAAAATGTGGAGGCTTCGCCCATAGTAGTAAATATCAAACGATCTTGCACTTTAAAAATTCTTAGCTCAAAAAGTACTCAAGTTAAAAAGTTGATTCTGGTTTAATTTTTTAAAAATTTGAAATTTCCTCTAAATAACTATAATATATTTTTTTTTTACTGAAGTACCTGCATTTATTAACGCACATCATGTTCATAAAGAAATTTCAAACACATGTTAATATATTGCCGCCATATTGGTTTTCGTTTATCTCGATCATTGGTTATCTCAGTGCTTTTTGGCAAACCCCGAGGCTGTCGACATAACCGGCATCTACTGTATATCTAATGATTAAGTTTAATGGTAATGATTAATTCAGTGGTATATCTAATGAAGAAGTTTTGAAAATTGATTTTTGATCTACCGGGTACAATTAAGAGTAATTTTACCTTTTTATCAGAGGAAATAAGTTAATTTTAAAGTACTATGTCATAAACTCATGCTGTTGGGTGTGTGGATTACCAAAAATAAAATGTCAAGATGATCCCAGGACCAAAAGGAATGACAGGTCTGCTCAATGTTTTGGAAACTTTGATTTGATCAGACTTGTTTTGATTATAAAAGTTTGCATCTTTATAAAAGTCATTTTAAAAAGATAAAACATATTAGCACTGTCAGAAGAATTCACACAAAGATGTTTACAAAAATTTAATTTTAATCACAGTAAAAAGAAAAAAAAAAAACTTTTGAGCAAGACAAGCTTTGGTAATTGATTCAATCATTGTGTGCTCTATTTAAAAGGAAATTCAAAATCTATAAAAAAAAACCCTTTCAGTTCCAATTTCTATATTAAAGAGATTCTTTATAAACATGTTAACTGAGATAAAATGCCAAATGAAACTAATATTAATATTGCAGTTGCTCTATATAAAAACAAAAACTTTACATCCATAAAAATAATTTTATAACTTAACATCCATCAGTAAGTACCGGTACATAAAAAATGACATTTGCCTCCTGTCTTCCAAACACAGTTCATAAAACAAAGTCAAAGGAAGACAACAATGTAGTATCTTAAATCTGTAACAAATTTCTTTGTTTAAGTATCACCACCCCCCACCCCAATTGTCAGCAATAAGACTACTCCACCAAAAAATTCAAAAGTTAATTTGCAAATTGGTATATTACAAACTAACATCACAGAAATGCAATTAAACAGTTTTTCTCTGTTCTTCGTGAGATTTGTGATGGAAGGTAAATGTTATGGCAGATTCCCAAGCTCCTTTCAAAAGTACATCGTTCAATCCTTTTTTGTCGGCACAGTGGTTCCACTGAGACAGATCACAGGTACAGTCACTCCCTTCCGCTGGTGGCTTTACCTGGATGTTATTGACACATCGCCTGCACTTGAACCTGGTCAGAAACAAAACCAAGCCGTGCTTAATAATAAGAGTGGCAGTAACTGATTTCATCACATACTTATAATAACAAAGGCAAATAAAATAAATACAACTTTGACTGGTAATGTATTTTAAGGTTGGGATAAGAAGTACTTATTATATAATAATCTCAACAGATGTAACAGTTTGAACTAACAGGTGGGCTCAACTAACTGAGGCATCATGTATTTGACACTCATCGTGAATTTGACACTTATGATGTGTAAGACTGACTTATGTGTTAAACTGACACATCATGTGTTAAACTGATGTACCATAAGAATCATGTGTAGGACTCACTTATCATGTGTATCACTAAGGGTGTCCAGATTGAGTGTAAACAGCTCTCTGAGTTCTCCGAGACTAAAATGCCTCTCCACATCCTGTTCATTGTCTACGACGCAGCTACTTAATGCCTTCTTGTGGGCCTGACGTTGAAAGATTTTTTCTTCTATGGTCCCCGTCTATAATGGAATGAAAATAAGTGACAACCACGACAGCACAACCCTGTAGACTTCAGCGAAAGGTTAGGAAGCATATTTTGTATCAGCTCATGTTTTCACACCCCACATGTAACAGTATTCAAACTTTCACTGTTTAATGCGGCCCTTGTTAATTAAAAGGTTTGGGGACCTTTTGTGAAACCTGGAGATAACTTTAACCCTTGGGCACAAAGCTAAAGTGGTTCTATGGGGAGGGGGGGGTAGAAATGGTGCCATTTAAAGGTTCAGCCAGTGTTAAGAAATCATTCCATGTCTGGAGGGGTGAGTTGACATGTATGTCAGGTCAGAACCATTTCTAGGTTCGTTATTTCCAGGTTTCTCTGTACCTTAGACAATTTTTTAACTAGAAGAATCCCCAAGACTTTTAGAGAACTTTGTAAGATTCCCATAGGGTGTGCTTTATTTGTTGGGTGATCATCAGCAAATGTTCAAGTCTTTCTTTAAACTGAGGTGTTTGTTTTAACAAAGGTGTTTGTTTTGACTGAGGTGTTTGTTTTGACTGAGGAGTTTGTTTTAACTGAGGTGTTTGTTTTAACTGAGGTGTTTATTTTAACAAAGGTGTTTGTTTTGACTGAGGTGTTTGTTTTAACAAAGGTGTTTGTTTTGACCGAGGTGTTTGTTTTAACTGAGGTGTTTGTTTTAACAGAGGTGTTTGTTTTGACTGAGGTGTTTGTTTTAACTGAGGTGTTTATTTTAACAAAGGTGTTTGTTTTGACTAAGGTGTTTGTTTTAACAAAGGTGTTTGTTTTAACTGAGGTGTTTGTTTTAACTGAGGTGTTTGTTTTAACTGAGGTGTTTGTTTTGACTGAGGTGTTTGTTTTGACTGAGGTGTTTGTTTTGACTGAGGTGTTTGTTTTAACTGAGGTGTTTGTTTTAACTGAGGTGTTTGTTTTGACTGAGGTGTTTGTTTTGACTAAGGTGTTTGTTTTAACAAAGGTGTTTGTTTTAACTGAGGTGTTTGTTTTAACTGAGGTGTTTGTTTTAACTGAGGTGTTTGTTTTAACTGAGGTGTTTGTTTTGACTGAGGTGTTTGTTTTAACAAAGGTGTTTGTTTTAACTGAGGTGTTTGTTTTAACTGAGGTGTTTGTTTTAACTGAGGTGTTTGTTTTAACAAAGGTGTTTGTTTTAACTGAGGTGTTTGTTTTGACTGAGGTGTTTGTTTTGACTGAGGTGTTTGTTTTAACTGAGGTGTTTGTTTTAACTGAGGTGTTTGTTTTAACTGAGGTGTTTGTTTTGACTGAGGTGTTTGTTTTGACTGAGGTGTTTGTTTTGACTGAGGTGTTTGTTTTAACTGAGGTGTTTGTTTTAACATAGGTGTTTGTTTTAACTGAGGTGTTTGTTTTAACTGAGGTGTTTGTTTTAACTGAGGTGTTTTTTTAACAAAGGTGTTTGTTTTAACTGAGGTGTTTGTTTTGACTGAGGTGTTTGTTTTAACTGAGGTGTTTGTTTTAACTGAGGTGTTTGTTTTAACTGAGGTGTTTGTTTTAACTGAGGTGCTTGTTTTAACTGAGGTGTTTGTTTTGACTGAGGTGTTTGTTTTAACAAAGGTGTTTGTTTTAACTGAGGTGTTTGTTTTAACTGAGGTGTTTGTTTTAACTGAGGTGTTTGTTTTAACAAAGGTGTTTGTTTTAACTGAGGTGTTTGTTTTAACTGAGGTGTTTGTTTTAACTGAGGTGTTTGTTTTAACTGAGGTGTTTGTTTTAACTGAGGTGTTTGTTTTAACTGAGGTGTTTGTTTTAACTGAGGTGTTTGTTTTAACTGAGGTGTTTGTTTTAACTGAGGTGTTTGTTTTAACTGAGGTGTTTGTTTTAACTGAGGTGTTTGTTTTAACTGAGGTGTTTGTTTTAACTGAGGTGTTTGTTTTAACTGAGGTGTTTGTTTTAACTGAGGTGTTTGTTTTAACTGAGGTGTTTGTTTTAACTGAGGTGTTTGTTTTAACTGAGGTGTTTGTTTTAACTGAGGTGTTTGTTTTAACTGAGGTGTTTGTTTTAACTGAGGTGTTTGTTTTAACTGAGGTGTTTGTTTTAACTGAGGTGTTTGTTTTAACTGAGGTGTTTGTTTTAACTGAGGTGTTTGTTTTAACTGAGGTGTTTGTTTTAACTGAGGTGTTTGTTTTAACTGAGGTGTTTGTTTTAACTGAGGTGTTTGTTTTAACTGAGGTGTTTGTTTTAACTGAGGTGTTTGTTTTAACTGAGGTGTTTGTTTTAACTGAGGTGTTTGTTTTAACTGAGGTGTTTGTTTTAACTGAGGTGTTTGTTTTAACTGAGGTGTTTGTTTTAACTGAGGTGTTTGTTTTAACTGAGGTGTTTGTTTTGACTGAGGTGTTTGTTTTAACACAGGTGTTTGTTTTGACTGAGGTGTTTGTTTTAACTGAGGTGTTTGTTTTGACTGAGGTGTTTGTTTTGACTGAGGTGTTTGTTTTGACTGAGGTGTTTGTTTTGACTGAGGTGTTTGTTTTAACCGAGGTGTTTGTTTTAACTGAGGTGTTTGTTTTAACAAAGGTGTTTGTTTTGACTGAGGTGTTCATAACCTTACCTCAATGTTACACCCATTCCAAAGAAAACAAATTGATGTGTAGTTACAAGACATTGGAAGTGTGTTGTACAAGACATTGGAGGTGTGTTATACAAGACATTGGAGGTGTGTAGGTACAAGAAATTGGAGGTGTTTACATAAAAGACATTGTAGGTGTGTAGGTACAAGACACTGGAGGTATGTAGGTACAAAATGACCAGTGATTTTGAGTATTTGGAAAATGGAGAAGTTCTGATTTACATAAATACTGAAAGTCCCCCTCTCCGTCCCTTCCTCCGCTCCCCTCTCAGTCCCTTCCTCCGCTCCTCTCTCCATCCCTTCCTCCGCTCCCCTCTCTTCCTTTGCTCCCCTCTCCATCTCTTCCTCCGCTCACCTCTCCGTCTCTTCCTCCGCTCCCCTCTCCATCCCTTCCTCCCTCCTTTGCTCCCCCCACTCTCCTCAAACACACACATACTTAGTATGGAGGACAAACTAAATCTATTTTCTACAACCCAGCATCACAATGAATTCCACTAGGCTTAGTTTAGACCTTTGCTAAACATTGCACCAATAATATATTTTGTTAGGTGCCAATCAAAATTTGGTAGCTGAATATGTAAGCTGAATCAAGTTTCATGTTAACTGGAGGATTATTGTGGCCAATTTCAAATGGACTTTGTCCTTTCATGCTGAGATCCTTACCGCAATAAGTCTGTAGATATAACATTGTTTCTTTTGTCCATCTCTCCAGCACCTGGCCATAGCCTGCTCATCATTGGCTGGATTCCAGTCAGGGTCAAACATAACTAATCTGTTGGCACCAATTAGATTTAAACCACATCCTCCTGCCTTGCTGCTCAGCATGAAGATAAACTCAGGACTCTAAAATATGAAACCAAACTCCACCAGTTAAAGTAATTAGTTAACGTACAATGAGCATGGCTTCAATAGTTAAAAAGTCATTGCGTACAATCAGCATGGCTTCACCGTTAAAAAGTCATTGTGTATGTTGACTTCAATAGTTACAAAGTCATTGTGTACAATGATTATGATTTCAATCGTTAAAAAGTCATTGAGTACAATGAGCATGACATCAATACTTAAAAAGTCATTATTGTCAATAAGCATGACTTCATCGTTAAAAATTCATTGTGTATAATGAACATAACTTCAATTGTAAAAAAGTCATTGTGTACAATGAGCATGACTAGTTAAGTCATAGTGTACACTAACCTGCCTTCACCAGGTCTCAAGTAAATAATACATTGGGATAAGCGACAAATGTGAGGTATTAATAGGTTATCTGTTTAAAAGCAGTAATTTAATATACTGGTAGGTATACAAATGTAAAATCTTGTTCAGAAGATAAAATTTAAGAAAGAGCATTCTAAAATGTCCTGACTTAAGGATGCCAGCAGTGCATTCAACAACAACAAAAATTAACATGTGACTTCAAATAGTGAAAGGAAAAGAAGAAAAAGAAATATAAAAGCCCTACCGATGGATCATTGAATCTCTCCACAATTTTTGCTCTCTTTTTAATAGTCATTGTTCCATCCAATCTGACATGCTGATAACTGATGAGAACCAAATTCTGATATTAGCTTTTGCATGGGAATATTGAGAAGAACATAAGAAAATTAAACATATAAAAATAAAATTACAAAAAAGTTCCTTATAGTAGGTAATTAATATTTACTTTTGCCCTAAAACTGCCCAGACCTCAGATAATTAGTTTTATTGGAATGCTAATTTTAAAATTTATTACTCTCCAATAAATGATGACCTACTTCCTTTGCCTACATAATTTCTCAAAGAGATCTAATGTTTGTGTGTAGTTAGAAACCAGGACGACTTTATCATCTGTGGTCATTTTGATGAGGGCTAACAATGTGTCCAGAACCACAACTTTGCCTGGAAATAGAGAAATTCAAATAACATTTCCAGTATTTAAACAAAAATTATTGACTTAATATAATCATTCTAAAGAGGATTTAAAAATAAATTTAGGTGAATAAGTGGGTTGGGAGGCTTGTGAGATTTTTATAATTTTCCCCAGGTACATTGAATTATGCAATAGTTTTTGATTGCCAAAGTCCTACCTAGTCTACTGTACATTCAACAAGATTCATAGACGTTATCAGAAGCTTTAGATATATATATATAAATACTGGAGGTAGATGGCGCCACTATTCATCCAAGGTAGTTAGTCAAAGTCTATTAAAACTTTTGTAAGGCTGGCCTTTATATCTATTCCTAGATATTCTTTGGTAATTGGGAATGTATTGAATACTCAGGCATATAATTTAATGGGGTTTGCTTATGAGGCTTTTCCTGTTAAAAAAAAAAAAGGGGGGGGAGGGGGTTCAGAAAAAAAGGAAAGGGGGGGGGGGGGGGGGCGCCTTATAAACGAATGGTGTTTAGAACTAGTATCTACGGGAATTAATCGTTATAAGAAAGAAAGTATAAATTAATTTTTTTTATTCTAGTGTCAAAAGATTCTTTACAAATATACAGCTGACTTATGTACAGCTAATGTATATACTATTGACAGAAGTACAGTTTACACATGTACAGCTGATGAATTTTCTACTGACATTTACAGTTGATAGCACTTGTGCTAACATTTTATTTTAATTATGTTGCTATTCTTGTGTTATTTTTTTACTAGAAAAAAACCCACAAAACAGCATAGCTCGAAGTTTAAAGAAATTAATTTAAATGAGTGAAGTCCTGGTGTTACCTGATAGTTCTGGTTTGACCGTCTTGGTTGTGTAGTCTGCAGGGAAGTGTCCAATTGTGTTCTCAAACCCATCAATTCCTTCTACACACTTGTCATGTATTAAATCTGGATCTGTGGAGATAGGAACTATTTGAGCACCTTTCTTCTTCTCAACATCACTAATGAGACAGGAACTATTTGAGCACCTTTCTTCTTCTCAACATCACTAATGAGACAGGAACTATTGACACATCTTTTACTACACAGGAACTATTGTTAGATCTCATAATACCAAGGGACTATTCTCACATCTTGTACTAACACAGGATCTATTGTCAGATCTCATAATACCAAGGGACACTTGTCACATCTTGTACTACACATGATCTATTGTCTTAGATCCCTTAATACCAAGGAACTATTGTCACATCTTGTACTAGACAGAATCTATTGTCAGATCTCATAATACCAAGGAACTATTGTCACATCTTGTAATAGACAGGATCTATTGTCAGATCTCATGATACCAAGGAACTATTGTCACATCTTGTACTACACATGATCTGTTGTCAGATCTCATAATACCAAGGAACTATTGTCACATCTTGTACTAGACAGGATCTATTGTCAGATCTCATAATACCAAGGAACTATTGTCACATCTTGTACTAGACAGGATCTATTGTCAGATCTCATGATACCAAGGAAATATTGTCACATCTTGTACTACACAAGAACTATTTAAAAATCAAATCTTGTATCCCCTTCTTGTCAGCATCACTTTTGCATGGTTAAAATAATCTTTTAAATAAAAAGACTTTACATTTTGAATCACGTGTTACAGAAAATCAAAGAGAAAGTTGCAAGAAAAGATTTGAAAACCCTATGCACCTTTAATTTATGTCTTAAGGACTGAAATATTAAACCAATATCAATAATAAGTTTTAAATTTAAAAAAAGAACTACACGGTAAGTTTACTTCCACATTAGTGTTAAAAGCCATGAAATAATGTTTATACAATTTTAAAACTTGATTTATAATGAAAGAAATCAAAAGAGACTTAAAGAGGAAATAATCAAAGAAAGACCAATGCTACAGCCCCATACTTACGATTACATAATTTCTTCAATTGTGTGATGGCTGATAGGCTGCTTACTGAAGCTTTACCAGAGACTAAATTCTGTGCCACTTTTGATGAGACAAACTTCGTGTACAGTGTTTCTTGTAGCGGACTAAGCTTACAGCAGATGACATGTTCAGCTGCAACATAAAAGGGATGGGGGTGGGAAATTAAATGTGTTATACTATCAACTCCAACAAATGTGGAAGCAATTGTGAGAAAAACTCTTAATGAATTGAATTTTTGTTTGTTACCACCGGGTTCTAAATCGATGAACTTACTTTTGACAGGTGTTCTAAATGGAAGAACTTACTTTTGACAGGTAAATATTTAGTGAGGAGAGCCTGAGTTCTTCGTATGATACACTTGTTTACTATGGACAACAGCTGAAACAAAACAGGAAAAGGATAAGGAAAGTGTGTTAAGAAATGTGTGTGTGCCTCCTGTGTGTCGAGCAATATTAAGTTTGATAGTTTCCCATTCAATTTAATGCTATAACTGTCATAACAGCCCTAGGTCTGTCATTATACCCCTTTCTGCGGTGTCATGGCCAATGTAATTGGCTGCTAGCAAAATCATCGTTAAAAATGCAAGCAAATGATTTAACCCTGTAACTTTAAAGTGTATTTTTCTGTAGTGTCAAGCCGTTTCAAACATTTTCACATGCTTGTCAAAAATGACAAAATCCCAATCTAAATTAATTCAGAGACCTTTACAAGTATACATTTTAATATACCACACAGAAAAAGGCACTTGACAGTGCTAGGGTTAAAATAAGAATGAACACACATGGCTGTTTGATTACCTCTTGTAGTTTCTCCTCTCCCTTCTTGTGATCATCATCTGTAGCATCAGCATCTCTTCCTCTCAAAATTGGGGTTTCAAATTTTCTTTTGAATTCCTGAGCAGTTCCTAAAGTTGCAGAGAGATATGATACACAAATATATCTAATGATCCTACCTCATTTGATGAACTAGATTATTTCTGTTACGGTAGTGATCAATGCCAAGAGAAGATAATATGTTTTAAACACAAGTTAGAATACCATAGTTTCTAACAAAGGGAGTTAACTCAACACCTACCTAAAATTCCTTTGTTGACAAAATGGAGCAGACTGAAGTAGCCAACCAGCACCTACCTAAAATTCCTCTGTTGACAAAATGGAGCAGACTGAAGTATTCTAGTAAATCATTTTGAATAGGTGTACCAGACAAAAGAATTCTCCTCTTTGCATTGAGTGAAGTTAATGCCTGATAAGTCTGATTCTCAGAGTTCTTCAGTCTGTGACCCTACGATAATGAATACATAAATAGGCTGATTATTTACTATAAAAGGCCAGACATTTAATATATTTGTGACAAGTTTTCATAAAGGGCCATCCGTATAATACGTATGAAAAAAAACCCCCACCTAAATCATATTTCAGACCCCCAACTGTGGCATACGCCCAAACGGAGAGGAAATTTAAAAATTATAGGAGCACATTATAGTCTCTGGGATTATAGTCACTCCATCACATGAAAAGTATTTAAGTTATAACCTCCGACCCCTTATTTTTACAAATAAAGATATATAAAACAAATTTATTTCAATCATTTGTAATGTTATCTTAAGGCCTTAAATTGGTAGTAAAATTGAAATTCAATCTTCTTTAAAGCAGCATGGTGACGTGCCTCCCCCCTCCCCTATTTTGGATGATCAGGTGAGGGCGTCGGTAAAGATGTTTGGAAAGCACAGCCATAAAGCATGTTTAAAATCGTCGTGGGTCACCCCTAATTCCCCACCATGACATCTCATGGTAGATGTACTGCAGTGAGTCATTAGGCTGCATAGTATTCTGGAGATATCTATTGAGCAACAGTATAACGACGATTAAGAAACACTACTATGATATTTTTATAGCCTTTTTTAAATTAATTAGAAATCATGGATTTAGAAGATCTTTTAGTGACAGCTGGCTTTATTAGAGATATTTAAGAATGTCAGAATAATTATTGCATAATTTGTGCATAACTGTACATACTTTCTGTCAAGACATTCCCCCTCCCCCCGCCATATGAACGCATATGCAATATTAACACCACTGTAGTTATATATGGATGGCCTCTTACAAAATAAATGCCTTAAATTTACCATAAAATGTTTTAAAAATAATATGAAATGCCTTAAATGAACATAATATATGTGTAATGCTTTGACAAGTACTTTTATGTGTGACTGTCTTAGTTGCACCATTAAACAGCTACACAGTACGCTGATTGGAAGGGTTTGTTACCTCATCACAGATGACTAAACCCACTTCTCCTTTGTGTAAAACAGATGCATGTAGGCGAAAGGTTTCATAAGATATGATCAGTACAGGAAACTGAATCCTCCTATTCTGTTGCTGCATAAAATGAACTGGAAATAAAGTGGTAACTCTCAAAGACCAAAGACACAAGCTTGCACAAATAAATGGGAATAAAAGATAACATTTTAAAATGACAACAAAAATTGTGACACTAATATATATTATACTGTTCTGACATTTACCAAGATTTCTATCAATTTCACTTTTGGTCCCAGAGTCAATGGCCAGAGCTTGGATTCTTGTTCCCAGCCACTTTCCAAGTTCATTGTGCCAGTTCTGTAATGTAGATTAAAGTTTTAAATTATTCTTAGATTTCTGGAGTGGGGGGAAATCACACAATTACAGATATAGCAATAATCACAGTATAGAGCAAGTAGAGAACATACATACCGTACCTATGAATCACAATTAATAATAAGCTAACAAGGCTTGAATGGAGCCAAATTCAACCAAAGATTTTTCTATCTTAAAAAAAATTGTACAATTTTAATTTGGCGTAAACTAACAAGTGTTATTAACTCATTATACAGTGGAGCAATTCAAAGCCTATTAAACTTCAGTGTAACTGCTGGTGTCATCAAAAACCGATTAAATAATCGACTAATCAAGAAAGCTAGTAACATCACACAAACTAAACATCCTTCACTTGAGGAACTACCTAAAGAAAAATAAATTTTCTTTTTAATAAAGTTAGGACCGAAAGATATAGAAATTATTTGGTTGCAAAGTCAGTACGAATTTACCACAGTGATTACAAAATCTAAATAATCCCCAATTAAGTCTTATTCTCACTAAAGGAGGTCATTGATGGCTGATTTCTACGCTAGAGAAATAATTTAGATGTCTTGAGTTTAAATTTTACATTGTCAGCCATGTCAGAGTATATTCATTTCACAATGGTGGCCAGGTCAGAGTTTATTCATTTTAAAACAGTGGCCAGGTCAGAATACATTCATTTAACAACTGTGGCCAGGTAAGAATACATTCATTTTACAACTGTGGCCAGATCATAATACATTCATTTTACAACTGTGGCCAGGTCAGAATACATTCATTTTACAACTGTGGCCAGGTCAGAATACATTCATTTTACATTTGTGGCCAGGTCAGAGTATATTCATTTTACATATAAATTAGTAGAAAGATAGCTTTTTTGAATGTAACTTTAACCGAAGGTGGTCTACTTTAATACATGCAAACTAACTAACACAGTACTAAACTGTTGGAACAAACAATGACGACCTTGACATACCTTCACTAAACTGCTGGGACAAACGATAATGACCTTGGTCACAGTAGGGCAGCAATCTGGACTCTGACGCTGAATCAAGAAAATTAATTTTGATAAAATACAATAACTTACTTTTAAATCAACAAAAACGGTTTAAAATTTCAGGAAAGTGAAAATATTACATGACTTTTTATCTTAGATTATGTTAAGCTGTAGAAAAAAGCTAGTTAAAATTACAACACAAAGGAAAAAGTTTGACAATACTTACTAAAAGTGTCCAAATTAAAGTGACACACTGCAGAGTTTTTCCAAGACCCTTTTAGGAAAAATTAAACATTCTGTAATATTTCATTTCCTGTGATGACTTAATGGGTATACATTAATTCTTAAATAAAAAAAAGCAAATGATCAATAAATTCATATGTTTACATGACTATATAAATTTAAAACAAGTTTTCTTGATTTTAAATCAAGATAATATAGTAATAATCTTTTTCTTACAGAATTCTTGAACAAGAAAACAAAAAGTAAAGAGAAATAATAGTCTATACAAATCAACAAGCAGTAAACAGAAAAAACACCAAACCAACATGCAGTAAATAGAAACCAGTCTATACAAACCAGTAAGCAGTAAATAGAAATGACAGTCTATACAAACCATTTCATCTGCCATGATACATCCATAATTGTTTTCAATCTGGTTGCCAGTCACACAGTCATACATAAACTTTACTCCCTGTCAAGTAGAGACACTTTATTTAAAAGACCCGATTTATAAAAGACAAATCAAAATCAAACAAACACTATCTCTATACAATGTAATTTTTTCCCCCAATAAGTCACAAATTTATTAGGGGAAAAACAATGAGAGAGAGGTTTTTTTTTTTTTCCCATTGCCAGTGGCTGACACTTTTTCTTGTATATTGCAACATTTTGTGGTTTCCCATGATTGTGTGTTCTCATGGTTTTGTGTTGTCCCAAGTTTTTTGCCCAGATTTCCAAGCAAATCTTTTCCCAGCATGCAGCTGGAGTTAGCGTCCATAGTTAGCTGTTTAACTCACAGGTGGGCTCAAAACTTGTGTCAACATTTCCTGTTGCTGAGATTAGAATCCCAGAGACCCTTGGCCCAATGAGTGAGATGTTGTATTGGAATAGTAAAGGCACCCCACCCGTGGAATAATTTTAGCTTAAGCTTTACAATAAAGCTTTACCTCTCTTTGATGTGGTCGAAGAACTTTACATAAAATAGGATCAACTACCACATGAACTGGCAACTTTTCTCTGAAAAAACAAGCCAAACAAATATAAAATAGATAAAATAAAAAAAAACAACAAAATAAAATGGTCAATTTTTAAAAAGAAAATTTGAAATAAAATTGACAATTTTAATTAGATGTGAAATATCTAATACAAGATAAATGGGACCAGTTCCTGTAGTTTAGGCCAAAACGTGCCAAAGTGTCCTCGTTTTATAACCATTTTAATTGTTTCTATAGTATAGTAGTTACTATCCTAGTGTCTCATTTTTATGTTACTTAGTTTACATGTTTTTAATAATTGTAAAGCGCTTAGAGCTTTAAGGTAAGCGCTATATAAAAAATGCCTAAATAAATAAATAAATAAATAAATAAATATAACTTACATATCAGTCTTCATCTGTTCATGGGCAGACATTTCTGGCGGGGAATAAAGCACAAGAGCACCTTCCTCAAAGGGATCGTGCAGTGGTTGCCGAGCTCCTTGTCGACGGACACCCAGGGCTCTGTTGAAACCAAGACCTAAATAGGAATTTTAAAATATTGCTCATTACCTTCAGGGTATGTTTACCACTGCAGGTCAGACAGAAAATGACTTAAATTTACCATTTTTTCATAAAGAATTTTATCAGAATGCCTTATAGGCATTAATGAACACTAGTTAACTTGCAATCTATTAGCGTTGATGGTAAAAATTGTCAGGAAAAAGATGAATTTGTGTTATTGTTAAATTAAGTTTTTTTTTTACCAGCAATTAACACCAAAACATAAGTTAGTATGCTGAAGTTGTATTGACTTAACATGTATAATGATTTACAGAAAGATCAGAGCTATGTGAAACATCTGAAGTTGTGTGCACTGAACATGTATAATAACTTTACAGACAGATCAGAGCTATGTGAAACATCTGAAGTTGTGTGCATGTATAATAACTTTAAAGACAGATCAGAGCTGTGTCAAATAAGCATTTTTTTTTTTTTTTAAAATGAAAATATTTTTGGAGATTTTCAGTGTGTAAACAAAATTTAGAAATTGGCACCAACATCATTATTTATTTATACATTAACTTCATTTTACAATTTACCTTGATAATTAGGTAAAGGAACTTTAAATGGCTTTGATAAAATCTTCTTGATTAGGTCTTCCTGTAAATAAGAGCAGTAATATCAGCTTTCAGTCAAATAATGAAGTAGAATTAATTACAAAAGCTATACCTGATATTTATTTAGGGAAATATTTTTTTCTCCAAACTTTCAACTAAGATTAACATCACATAATTCACATCTGTACTTACATGAGACAAGGAGATGTTGTCAGGTATTATTACTGTCAGGGCTTGACGATAGGGTGACATATGCTCTTGTTGGCTGTATGTTGGGCATGTTTTGTGGCGTTTAACCTAGGACCAAACATAATAGGTAAAAATAAATGCTTAAGCGTTCATGTTCCTTTAGAAAATACCCTGTCATTTTAACATTTAATCATTCATAATACTAATAACAGTAGAATAGTTCTTTATTTTAAGGTTAAAATAACTTCAAAATTTCATTCATTATGTTCTATAGCTGAGAAACTCAACCAACTGACTTTAAATAGGGGCCCTTATCAAAGTAACATAGACAAAACATGCTCAACTGACACACATCTTTCAGTTACTGGAATGGATGGTTCAAAGTAACATTTACCAAATGGACTAAACAAATTAACCTTCGTATCAATAATTAAAAATTAGTAATTGAAATACAAATTCTGAAACATACTCCATTCCTTTTTCCAAGATCTGCATCAATGTCAATATATCTCTTTTGAACCGTCTGTCCTCTCTGACTTGGTGCCTGACTTCTCCTCTGCAAGAACATTAGGCATGCATATAAGATAGGGTACCGGTACCACCCTTTCTTATTGTTAACAAATGATACCTATGAAACCATGTTGTTTCTAAATTCAGATGGCCTACATTTACATTCTCAATGTGGTCATTTTGAACGGATCAAAATGATTTAAGCTTTTGCTGTCCAATGTTGAATTTATTGCAAGCCAGTTTTGAAAGTGTATCATGTGCAAAAATATTTCTTTTCTAAATCCAGTAAAAAGACGTAAAAAGTCTGCACAGCTGTACAACGTGACAAAAGAATAAAAACTGTAAAAAAGGTACAGATAAACCGTACAGGATGGCACTCTGAATGTTATGTTCCAATTAAAACATTTAGCTAACTAATAGTACTGTCTTAAGCCTCAAGTGAACATGACTTTTTGATATCATTTAGATCATGGGTGGCCAACCCAAAAGGCTTTGTGGGTCACTTTGAATATTAGCGAGTAAACAGTTCGCTAGCGGCATGAGTAAACAGTTCGCTAGTGGCATGAGTAAACAGTTCGCTAGCGGCATGTCATTACACCTTATATTAAAATAAACAATATATGCTGTATAGAAATATTTACCTCTTCTTAAATGCACATAATGAAATGTTAAATAAAACTAAACCAATATGTTGTCATATTAGCTTTTTTATCACTTATCTTTTTAGATTGCATTACTTTTTCAACTGAATAAAGAACAAATAAGTTTATTTAGGACTAATCAGGCCACACTATTTGATGTGGTGGGTCCTATGCGGCAGTGAGCCGGCCACCCCTGACTTAGATGATGGTTTTTGTTGTTAGAAAATACTTTCAAAAGATACTTTGGTGTCTACAATAACAATTTTTTTAATTCAATTTGGAGTAAATTAAAAAAAATTCCTTTAACCTGCTCATAAGCCAACCACCTCATGCCCATGGGGCTTGAGCTTTAAAGGCAAAAAATTTTGGCTTGGGAAACAAGTATACTTAGTGGGGCTCAATACCCTATCCAGGCTATTTCAGTTCATTCAAAAATTAAATTACTAGCTCATCATATTTTTGTATATTAAGAGTTCTGGAATAGGACAGCAACATTAAACAATGCCTACAGATGCTATACACTTAAAGAGAAACAGATAAGGTAATTTTGTATTTTAGACTAGTAAATTAGAGGTACTTTACAATTTCTTGTATTTTAGTGCAATTAATTATTTACTTGTTATCTCCCATTTCATGGCAGAATAAACTAAAAGCACATTGAAAATGCAAGCATATTCCTAGGCTGGGGTGTTGGGCTATATAAAAAAAAAACCCAATAAGAATAATAATAATTATTAAGTTAAGTAATATTTGATTTTAATAGTTAAAGAGAATTTGAAATGAATAAATGAGTTATTGATTAGCCTACTTGCTGTCAACTGGATGTTTATGCTTTCTTTAGCTTTAAAAGAGTACCTCTAGTTCATCTAGCTCCAGACCAAAATGAATATTGAAATTAAGTAAGGGTAAATGACTAAAGATGGCTGGAGCTTAATTTCTGGTTTAGTACAATTCATTAAGTTAAATGGTTGCTGTTCTGTTATGTCTCTTTGATAATATTTTTATGTACAGCGTGGTGAGCCCAGCCCCCTAGTCTGGGCTACAGCGCTATAAAAGACCACTAATTATTATTATTATTTGAATTGATTGGAATAATAAAAACCCACAGCCATAGGCCTAAATAATAAAAATAAAATGATATTTAAAAAACATAACAATAGCCTATTAAATTTAAATAGGCCTAAATTGAATTTAGGATGCTAAAATACCATAAGCCTTACTCAGTAATTGGGTAAAATACTGTTTTGGCAAATTAAATTAATATACCCCTCACCCTCAAAAGTCCACTATTGTTTAAATTCATCCAAAATAAAGGGACATTATTATCATTTATTGGATAGTTCATAACTAAGAAGAAGTAAGCTCAATATTAAAAAAACAAATTATGCATATAAGTTTATGATTCATTAAATACCCTTTCCCTATTTTGATTTCAACATTTAAAGAAAGAATTAAATTCGCCAAAGCATATTTTACTCAGCACTAGTACCTGAGCCTGAATGAGTACCTTACTTTTGGACTATAACAGCATTTTACAACACAATCTAAATGTAGGTAAGCTACCACTTCAGCGTTGGTTATTAAAAAAATCGTGTTGTTCCGCTTTGAAACAGTTATTCTTTTATTAATAAGATAAAATTCTTTTACTGAACAAAATAAATGGAAATTTTTTAATGCCATTGTACACAATCATTTCAGTACATCTAAAAAATAATCCAAGACACATTTGTTACGATAGAAAACTTGTAACAATTAAAATCGTTTATGTTTTCATAAGACGAATATTCGTTCGACACAATAAGTGAGCATATGCACTCCTTTAAAGTGATGGCTTGTCCGCCTGGCACTTCAATGAGAAAATAGTCCCCACTTTCTCTTTCTATGTTACCGAAAACCCAGTGGCCCTCTCTCTACAGTGGTATTTCCTATTAACAGGCATCAATAAAAGAATAACTGTTTAAATAGCTCTTCAATCAAACTGGAACAACGAGATTTTTGAATAAGTGATGCTGAAGTGGTAAATTACCTAATTAGTAGGCCAAATTTATTTAATATATCACAATCATATCTATTAGTTATTAGTGTAAAATTTATACTACCCAGCAAACTGCCTACTACTACTAAACTTGTTCCACAACCAGCCTACTACTATTGACAACCATGTAGAGTAGTGTTTTAACTGGAGACTGACTACTCTTACACTCAATTGACTACACTTACACTCAAGTGACTACTCCTACACTCAACTGACTACGCTAAGACGACTAATAAGTTAACACATCTTAGAATCTTAGTTTAGTTTAGTGACTTACTACTACCCTTAAGACTTAAGGTCAATTTACGCAATCAGTGCCATTTGAGTTTCTGTAAAGGAATCTCTCCCTTTCATTTTTTCTTGTATTGTTTCTAGAGTTAACTTTTGGTTTTTTAATATTAATATGCCAATGAAAGGTTTTAAATTAATATTCATTGGGTGGTTAATTATAATAATCAAAATGAGCCCAGCATTTTGGAATGAGTATTGATTTTTCTGACCACTTTTGGCTTGTACTTTGGTGGAACACTCAATAAAGTGTGTAAAGTGTAGGCCCTATTCAATGAAACTGTAAGTAAAAGCAAGTTGGGTTTTCATTATTTTGAAGATTTAAACAAAAATTCTATTCTTTCTATTCAAATTTCAGATTTTCTCAGTACAGTACAAAGTATAGTAATTGTAGCACTTGAAAACATGGTAAGGGTTCGCATTATCATAAGCCATTAGTTGGGAGGGAGGACTAAATTAAGAAGTGAATTTGCACTCAAGTTCTGTTAGGGTGGACTGAATTGAAGCTTGAGTTAGGGATCCTGACTTAGCATTCAGGGTACAAACAGTTTCAGATTTGTCTTTAAAAAAATTTCATTAAATGTGCATGTTTTTAAAAATAATTTTGCACTACCTTTTTTACTTTTTACAGACAGAGCCGCCACCTTTCTTGTTGTGACAGGTCTGCCGTCATGGGAACTAAGATGGTTATGGTAGCATGTGGGGAAAAAAGTAGTAAATGTGAAGAGATAGCACCGCGTTTGCTGCGAACTTATGACTTATCTTTTGATGTCCTAAATTCATCCCTCAAACTAGCCTAACCAGAACCCTAAATCAAAATCTATCCCTAAACCTAACCTGAACCCAAAACTTATCCCTAACTTGGGTTTTGACCCTATCGGAACCAGGGACAAAACACACAAAGGACGTCAAGGTGCTATCTCCTCACATTAGCCCTAACTTATTACTGTTACTGTGTTAGTCGTGAGTGGCAGAGAGTGGGTAATTCTAAATAGTTGGTGGCGCTTTTAGATCAAATGCCTAGTCCACTACGACTACAGTAGACAATTAAAGCATCATCTTAAAACGAATGCTTACCATATCAATGTCAAAGGAAAGTTCGAGCGATGAATAATGAATATAAATTTTACAGTCAAGGTCTACTTTTCTGTTTTTTGTTATTACAACTATTCCCTACATTTGTAAATAGCCGCCATTTGCAAAATTTGTTTTTCCGGGTCAAAGAACTTTGATTGCCAGAAATATTAGGAGGGAAAATTGTGATGCAACTAAAAGGATACTCCTTGAATGCTTTACTTGATGTTTATACAAATAGAACAGATTTAATTTTAATCAAATCAGCTGATAATCTATTTTAAGTTTTCAATGGTTATATTTCAGTTTAAATTTAATCAATCTTGATAAAGGCGAACTGAATAGTCAATTATTCGATCTATGTTGTGACCAATCATAAACAACCAGGAGACGTGACCGTCTTTATTTATAGAAGGGCACTGTGCGAGTTTCTACGAGACTTCCGACGCTAAATGTGGGTCATTGAGGGAGAGTAGAAATGGTCAAGTTGTGAAAATTATATTTCAGAATTTGACCATTTCATGGATGTGTTTGTAGAGTGGTGGAATTATGGCTCTTAAGTTAAAGTTGCACAGCCCGGTGGGGGCAGATCCCTTGATATTAAAATGGCCAGTAGCAACCTCGGTAAGTAATTTATGTTACTACATTATCATTAACATTGTTGGCTTCTCTTGCTTGCAGCTGCAGCACTAAATTCTACTCCTCAGAGTCAGAGTTAGTGAAGATTGAAGATTAAAAAAAAATTGTAGTTGTCTTTAAGTATTGCAGAGAAGATACTACTTCCAAGCTTTCACCTAGATTTTTATCAACAATCCTGAGAGACAAAAATATTATGAAGGAAATGACTTATTTCAGTGGGGTAGAGCCTATTAAAAAATTCAGAATTAAAATCCAGATCAGGATTAAGAGTTAAGAGTATTTTAGTATATTATTCTATATTATTATTACTATTATATTACTACTATTTAACCATATAATTATATAGTTAATAAAGACAATATAGTAAAGTAAATTTAGTAATAGTACACAGTCACCAATCATTAGGGATTATATCCCAATATTAATATGGATAGTCACTGTGCTGGCACTGGGTACACCATCCGGCTAAAAGAAGCAGTACAGTATAATAATAATTAGGCCTATGTCATTTAATTTAATTAGTAATTAATAACGAAATGGCTGCATAAACGCGTTGGTGTATGGCGTACCTAGCAAAACCATGGAATATGCCTGCGAATACCACTGCAACTCTCGTATTGAGAGGCTGTTAAAGTTAGATATTGTCTGGAGTGGTCTTGTGGTAGGAGTAGAGTAAACACTAGATGCTATCATATGCTTACTTTACTAGACTTAAAATTATATCTTCAACTTAAAAAAGATGTGCTGACCTTTAAACTCATCATAAGTTTCACCTTAAGATAAGCTATGGCTGCAGCTCCAAAAAACATTTTACAGTGAAACCAATGATAAGCACAAACTCTTGGGTGCTATTTGAAGGGATATTGGTATATTATTCTCAGGTTCAGCCAGCATGATCATGCTCAATAATTTGAAGGCAGTATCTACACGTCTGGTATCTCCCTAAACTATTTGTCTGGCAACCAAGACAATGACCGTCGGAAAAATACTTTATGGAGATATTCGTCCGGCGACCAAGTCACTGAGTTGCATTTCTTCGGTTCGTCTACTGTAGGGGTCTCCAAACTGCGGCCCGCAGAGACCTTTTGTAAACGGAATAAAAAATTACTCAAAAGTACGTGTATCCTGACAAGATCAGACGCCACTTACGTGGACGTTATGTTTTTACCGAATTAAAATAGAGGAGCGCAGTAGTGCGTTATGTTTTCAAGCGATCATTACTTTGCAAAATCTTATTCGATGCTTAGTTTTTCTACTTTCGTTCACAGTCAATGAAATGACATGTAGTGGCGGGGCTTTGCCCGCCATTTTGCAGACAGGGTTGAAAACATTGTGACTCAAATATCGAAAAATGCAAGCAAGTTTCACCATTTTTTATTTGCAATGGATGAATCGCTGGACAGCTGTTCCACCTCTCAACTGCTTGTGTTCGTTAAGAGTATTGTTGAAGACATGAACATAACACAAGATCTATACACCTCTTAAAGGCCTTCAGATCCAAACTCGTCTTGTTTTTGGAACAAGTACAGGCCAACAACTTTATGCTCTTGTAGCAGTGGACGGTCTTCATGGCTGAAGCAACAGCGGAGTTCCCCACGTCATTTGCATGCGAGATCATCAAAGACCCCCAGCTGCATTTTCAGCAGCAGTTTTCTGACTTGGATTTAAAGGCAGAAGAAGTGAGATTTTTTCAAAACCCAATTCAAACAGATGTGGCCAGTTGCCCAGAGGAACTGCAGCTGGAGGTCATTAACTGAATGAAATAATATTATATAAATAATTAAAAACAACATCCATGTTTTGATTCTTTTTTATTCGGACCTCGAGGGCAGTGATTATTTCAAAAAATCCCCCCCCCCCCTTTCAGATTTTTTCGGGGGGGGGGGGGCGGGGCCAGTGGTTTCATTGTGGGAATTTTTTTTTTCGGGGGAAGGGGCCTTTGTTTTCCGGGGGGGGGGGGGGGGAGCCCCCCCCCCCCCCCACATAATGCTGACAGAAACCCTGCTCGAGTGTGCACTCGGCCCGCGAACTACTGTTTGATAGTTAATGCGGCCCTCGGGCTGGAAAGTTTGGAGACCCCTGATCCACTGCTTAGCCTACCATTTATCAAATGATACAAGAAATTTTAGAGAAAAAATGCCACTGAACTGAAAGTTAAGATGAAGCAATTTTTCATTAAACAAAACACACTTGTGCCTGTGCAAAGAAATCTTCTTGACATAATTGCAACTGTGCGATCACAGTTCCTTATAAATATTATAATTTATAGAATTTTGACATTTTTTATTTTAAATTAAATAAATGTTTTGTAAAGTTTTATTGTATTCTTAATAATGTTATTGAATAGAGTAACAGATCGCATTATCATGTTTTCGCGTATATAAGATGCGTCTTGTACAAAGTTTTACATACCCATCTTATTTATGGGTGCATCTTATGTAAAATATTTTTTACACAAATCGCCAAAACCCGCATCTGATATACATACATTGGGCATTGAGTGGTCTATGTTTGGTACTAATCCCACTCGCTGAAGACTTGGCCTAGCACAGCGGTTCTCAACCTGTGAGTTGCGACCCCTTTGGGGGTCACATGACCCTTTCACAGGGGTCGCCTAAAACCATCTGAAAACACATATAGTCTACAGTTACAAAGTATCAAAGAAAATAATTTTGTGGATGGGATCGCCACAACATGAGGACCTTTATTAAAGGGTCGCGCCATTAGAAAGGTTGAGAACCACTGGCCTAGCAGATCATTGAAGCCACCTGTACAATTGGTATTTATTGTTTCTAGAATCTAGATACCAGGTCCTCAACCCATCCACTATTGGCCTAGCGGCAAATAAGAATAAACAATAATCGTCATTCTGTCTCAGAATATTCTTTGATTTATTGGTAAACTAAAAATGGTAACGAAGCCTTGTTTACATCCAACAGGTGATGAATAATTTGACAAATTTTCAGTTATGATAAAGAAAGGAAACCACTGGATATAAATTGTTGAGTGTCGCAGACCTTAAGTAATTTTTGTTTACACAAATCGTCAAAACCTGTGTCTTATATGGGTGCGTCTTATGTAAAATATTTTTTACCCAAATATTCAAAACCTGTGTCTTATATATGGGTACTTCTTATTTGAGCAAAAATATGGTATGTGTGAATATGGCATTAAAAGTTAGGAGCTGGCATTATTTGTGGTTCATGTTATACATGGTAATGTTCGGTAATCACTCTGGCCCTGAGAGTTGAGACGGCTTACATGCTACAAGTATGTTACAGTTCAGTAGTTTCACACTAACACACTAAATTGTGTCTTGGGTGATGATAATTCATTAGATGTATACTGGGCTGGACATAGACTTGCCGAAGCCCTAAGCTATAGAAAGTCCAGAGATTCCCATCTGTTTTAAATGACATCAACTGGTCAAATAAACATTTAAAATATGTAACTTTTTAATATATTTTTCTTAAAAAAGTAATAGTGTGTTTACAAAATCTCAGAAATAATTCTATAATGTAATCCTCTAAAATGCTCTAAGTTACATTTTTTTTTATTGGTTTCCCAAAAGCTCAATCATTGATTGAATACATCATCAAAAGATGTACTATGTAACTTATCACTTTCTATAAACATGATGCTAAGTACAAACAATTTTTCTTGAGAGATAGTTGCTATCAGTTATTTTTTCATTCTCTTAATCTATAAAAATGATCTTTGTCCTAAACAATTTGTTACCATAAAACATAGAAATAGTCAAAATATTGGTTCCACATTTGGGAAAACTAACTCAATCTTGTCTTGACAGATGATTTGATACAAATCTTTGTGTTGGAATGTTATTTTTCAGGATAATGGAAGTATCTCAGTTCATTCGTGAGACAATATCAACATCTTGTGCATATTCTTTTATTAAAGTATCTACTGCTTAACATAGCTGTACCACTAAAACTTCTAAATCAACTGAAAAGGAAAATTCATTTGAAACATAATTGTAGACTGTTGTTCTTCTCGTGAAATTTTCCCAAAGATTTCTATAATATGAGTGAGGGAATTAACTCGAAATTGGTCTCTTGGAGAAAGCTTTTCATCTGCATCAGGTGCAGCTCCATCATTGGCTTGTTTTCTTCTCAACCTTCTTTCTTTTCACTGTAGAGTTATATTCTACAATGGGCAATCATCTAGATTTAACTTCTTCTTTAATATCATCTAAAGTGATTTGTAAAAATTCGCACATGTGGTATGTGCAATATTTGGATCCTAGAGAGCCGTACTGGTTTTATGAAACACTTGCTGCATTTTATTCTATAAATGTTGCATTAAAAAAAAATCTATTTCTTTTTTCTAGAAGAGTACCAGCTTCAAGTCTTATACCTCCCTTTTTATTCTGATCATCATAAATGTGATGTATAGCTTTATGATTGGCTTATAATTCACATATGTGGCAGACACTGCTGTGAAATTTGCTTTGAATTGAATTGAATATTTATATAGC